GAAACTGGTTACCAATGAGTGATCCCATCACCCATAAACCAGTTAGTACTAAGTGATTCCATCCCATCAACAGCACTTGAGTTGATTCTGACTCAGAACAGCCCCGAGTTGTCAGGGTAGAACTGCCCTTTAGGGTTGGCATGGCTTTGAGCTTTCAGAAACATTAGGTGCCATCAAGTTGGTGCCGACCCTCTGCACAGCAGAACGAAACACTGCCCGATCCTGGGCCAACCTCACTACTGTTGCCACGCTTGAGCCCACTGATGCTGCCACTTGGCCAGTCCATCTCGATGGGGGTCTTCCTCTTGTTCTATGACCCTCCACCTTACCAACCGTGATATCCTTCTCCAGTGACTGGTCCCATCTGACAATATGTCCAAAATATGAGAGACAAAGTTTGGACATCCTGGCCTCCAAGGAGCACTCTAGCTGCACTTCTTCCAACACAGATCTGTTGGTTCTTTTGGCAGCCCATGGTACTTTCAGTATTCTCCCCCAATACCATAACACAGAAGCATCAATTCTTCTATGGTCTTCCTTATTCACTGTCCAACTTTCACATGTGTATGAGGTTATTGAAAATACCATGACTTGGGTCAGGCACACCTTAGTCCTCAAACTGACATCTTTGCTTTTCAACACTTTTTAAAAGGTCTTGTGCAGCAGATTGGCCTAGTGCAATATACGTTGTTTGATTTCTTGACTGCTGCTTCTGTGAGTGTTGATGGTTGATCCAAGAAGAATGAAGCCCTTGACAACTTCAATCTTTTCTCCATTCATAAGAATGTTGTTTACTGGTCCAGTGGTGAGGATTTTTCTTTACGTTTTCTTTACATTGAGACACAATCCATACCAAAGGCTGTGCTCTTTGATCTTCATCAGTAAATATTTGAAGTCCTCTTCATCTTCAGCAAGGTTGTATCATCTGCATATCGCAGACAGTTAATGAGTCTTTCTCCAATTCTGATGCCATGTTTTTCTTCATAGAACCCAGCTTCTCAGATTATTTGCTCAGCATACAGATTGAATAAGTATGGTGAAATAATACAACCCTGTCACACACCTTTCTTAATTTTAAACCATCCAGTGTTCCCATATTCTGTTCGAACAACTGCCTCTTGGTCCATGTACAGATTCCTCATGAGCACATTAAGTGTTCCAGAATACTCATACTTCGCAATATTGTCCGTAGCTGTCATGATCCACACAATAGAAAGCCTTTGCATAATCAATAAAGCACAGGTAAGCATCTTTGTGATATTCTATGTTGTTGTTGTGAAGTGCTGTCGAGTCGGTTCCAACACATAGCATCCCTGTATAGGGTTTCCAAGGAGCAGGTGGTGAGCTTGAACTGCTGACCTTGCAGTTCAAACAGCTTTGCAGTCTGGCACATTAACCCACAGCACCACACCAGGACTCCTACAGCTAGACATTTATTTCCAGGCACATCTGAGTGGATTTGAACCATCAACCTTTGGCGTAGCAGCTGAGTACTTAACCGTGTGGGCCCCCAAGGGACTCCTAACGTATAGGATCACCTTATGGGGAGTCATTACATCACATTCCATTAGAACATACCACACCACATCACCTGCCCCACCAACAGGACCCCATGTAACTGCTTCATCACAGCAACTAGACTGGGGTTTGGCCAAACTATGGGAAGCAGAGGCGGGACATGCTGAGACAGCAGGAGCCTCCGCAGTGTGTGAGTCAACAAAGGTTGTAGCCAGGCGAGTCCCTCCTGCCTGGATGAGGGTAACGCAGGAGACAGTCACCTGGGGAGTTCCGAGTGGATGACGTACTGCTTCAGGAAGCACGTCTTCGCGCCCAGCGCTAGCAAGGGCCTCGTGTGGCTTCTACGATTGCCAAATGCAGGAGAGACCAGGACAGAGGGAAGGACGGTCA